TAATTCAAACCTTGATTAGTATTTTGTTAAATTGGGTATAGTCTGTGCATATTTGATGTTAAATAATTCCTTAAACATCAGAAAACACAATGAACCTGAAGGGAAAAACATATGTGACCGAGGAAAAGAAAGCAATTTGAATGCACTTAGAAGCATCAGGAAGAATGCTCCAGGTTTAGGATTATTTGGTGGAGGCCCATGGAACACTTCCTTCATGGTTATTCGGCTGTGGTGGCATTTTGATTTGGAGCTTGAGCAGAATGCCAAGTAACTCAGGTTAAACAAAACAGGATTTCTCAGGAGCCAAGGAAAATGACAGGTAAATCATTGGCACTGGTCTAAAGAAAGTGTGTGAAAAGACAAGCAAAAGACAGCCTAAACATAGAATGAGTAATGAGCAGCTGGTCAACCTAGAAGTGAAAGCAAGCAAAACCACTCACTAAAAGTTTGGTTATTGTGCTAATTTGTGGCAAACCATGAACAGTGAGCCTATATTTTTAATTTACATAACTAAAATTACCACCTAGAAAGATAGAAATGCTATAGTAGCTTTCTGTATTCTGAACCTCAGATGTGTACTCTAAACATAAAATGAGAACATAAAATGTCTAGAGAATCAAAAGTGGGAAGGCTGAACAGTGGTGTGTCATGGGCCCACTCAATGGTGAAGACCTTTGTTCTCAGATCAGAAACAGGACAAGGATGCCCACTCTCCCCATTTTTATTCAACAAACTATTATAAGTATAACCACAGCAATTAGGCAAGAAAAACAGAAAAGGCATCCCAATCATAAAAAGGTAAAACCGTCACTATTTGCAGATGACATGATACTCTGCAGAAAACCCTAAAGATCACACACACACAAAAACAAAACAAACAAACAAACAAAAAACCTGTTAGAATAAATAAAGTTGCAGAACACAAGCTTAATATATAAAAATCTGTTGTTTTTCTTTATATTAATAACAATGAGAAAAGAAATCAGAAAAGAATCCCATTTATAGATGCATCAAAAAAGAATACCTACCGTGTTTCCCCAAAAATAAGACATCCTCCAAAAACAAGACCTAGCACATGGAAAGATAAGACATCCCCTGAAAATAAGACCTAGCGCAACTTGGGAGAAAAAATTAATATAAGACACTGTCTTATTTTCGGGGAAACAGGGTAGGAACAATACTCATTTAATCAAGGAGCGAAAGATCTCTATACTGAAAACTAAAAGACACTGATGAAAGAAACTGAAGAGGCAAGTAAATGATGCAGTTGTGGGTGATCAGGCCAGCAGGGGAGGGCAGTTAGGGATGACTGGGCCGGCAAAGGAGCGCAGTTGGGGAAGACCAGGACAACAGGGGAGGGCAGTTGGGAGTCACCAGGCCTTCAAGGGAGGGCAGTTGAAAGGGACCAGGTCTGCAAGGAGGGCAGTTAGGGGTGACTAGGCCGGCAGAGGAAGAAAGTTGGGGGCAAACAGGCTGGCAGGGGAGCAGTTAGACATCAATCAGGCTGCCATGGGAGTGGCTAGGGGGTGATCAGGCTGGCAGGTAGAAGTGATTAGGGGCAATCAGGAAGGCAGGCAGGCAAGCAGTTGGGAGCAAGCAGTCCTAGATTGTGAGAGGGATGTCTGATTGCCCATTGAGACACGATCCCAACAGGCAGTTAAACATCCCTCGAGGAGTCCCAGATTGGAGAGGGTGCAGGCGGAGCTGAAGGACACCCCCCCTCCCACCCTCGTAATATAATAAAAGCGTAATATGCTAATTCAAGCAGACATCCTTCTGGATGAAGCAATGGTGGCAGGGCTGAGGTAGAGTGGCCGCTGTGATGGGCAGGGGCCAAGGCAGAGTAACCATGGCAGAAGGGGCTGAGGCAGCCGCTGTGGTTGCAGGGCTTGCACAAATTTTGCGCATCAGGCCTCTAGTTATAAAATAAGTAAGTCATGGGGATGTAAGATACAACATGGGAAAATAGTCAATAATATTGTACTAACGTTGCATAGTGACAGATGGTAACTGTCTTACTGCAGTGATCATATTGCAGTGCATACAAATGTTGAATCACTATGCTGTACACATGAAACTAATATACTGTTTTATGTCAATTATACTTCAATAAAAAAGCTGTTTACTAATTCAGAAGCTACCATGGTGTTCACAGTATTTAAGTGACCAATATAACTCCTTCCTCCTATGAGACCAGTGTAATTTGTGCCTATTTTCACTGCCCACCTGGATGCAAGCAGTTGACTTTATTATGGCTTCCATGTGGTGCTCACACACCAATACACTGAAGTACTGTTTTTTATTATGTAATACTAGAGGCCCATAGTGGGTGTGTGTGTGGGTGTCCCTCAACCCAGCCTGCACCCTTTTGCAGTCCGGAACCCCTTGAGGGATGTCCACCTGCCGGCTTAGTCAGACATCCCTTTCACAGTCCAGGACACCTCATTCTTTACCACCTGTCTGCAGCAGAGGTGGGAGAGGCTTCTGCCACTGCCTCTGCACTAGTCAGCTGTGCATCTGGCTTCTGGCTAAGTGGCACTCTCCCTGTGGGAGTGCACTGACCACCAGGGGCAGCTCCCGCATTGAGCATCTGCCCCCTGGCAGTCAGTGCATGTCATAGCAACTGGTAGTTCTGCTGTTTAATCGATTTGCCTATTAGGGTTTTATTATATAGACTATATTTTGATTTCATGTTAGGTAAGTTATAGCAGCTATGCCTTTCATATCAGGATAATAAAGAATGCATTACAAAATACACTGAGTGGCCAGATTATTATAATCTCTGAATGCATAATAATCTGGCCACTCAGTGTATATGCTATATAATAAAAATCTAACGTGCAAATTGTCCTCTCGATCAGTTCAACCAACAGGCAGGCTGGCCAACCGCCCATGTCCCCTCCCCTTGGCCAGACTGGCCGGACCCCACCCATGCATGAATTCCTGCAACGGGCCTCTACACTACACACACACACACACACACACACACACACACTGAGTGGCCAGATAAACAGGGGCACTGGATGTGACAAGAAAGAAAAATTATCCTGGTTTTAGGGAAAGCAAATATATAGCATCATGAATTATAAGTTGATGTGGAAACACCATGAATATGCAGATATGGTGAGATGCTATGCGTTACAGAATTATTATTTTCAAATCAAATCCACTCATTTGTGTGCCTACTGGCTAGCTTATGGCAAGCAGGAACATCAGGGGCAATAACAAGAGATAAATTTAACTGAAGAAAAAAAGTGAAGCTGAAGCTGGGCATCTTTCCCTAGAACACTGATTCTCAAATATTAGTGTGCATGAAAATAAAAACAAAGTTCCTAGTCCCTCTCTCTAGAGATTCTGATTCAGTAGGTCTGTGATAGGACTCAGCAACCTGAATAAATAACAGGAATCACTCTACTCTGATGCAGCATCTCTGTACATCAGGGCTTTTCACACCATATGCATACAAATCTCCCAGGGACCTATCTAAAATGTACTCTGCCTGGCCAGCTGGTTGGAACATCGTCCCATGCAGGTTTGATTCCCAGTCAGGACATATACCTGGGTTGCTGGTTTGATCTCCATGCATGAACAGGAGGCAATTAACTGATGTCTCTCTCTCCCTGCCTCTCTCAAATCATTAAAAACAAACAAACAACTATATTCTCGGGTGAGGATTAAAATAAAATAAAATAAATAATAAAATAAAATAAATAATAAAATATAAAAATGAAATAAAATAAAATAAAATGCAGACACTAATTCAAGAGGTCTGAAGTAGATAGGGCCTGGTTCTCAGTATTTCTAACAAGCTCCCAGGCAATGTTGATGTTTGCTGGTCCATGACCACACTTAATATTACACTTTTTTTGGGGACTACAGATTCTATAACATGCAGAGAATGGAAGACAGAAAACTCACCTTCAGCCTGGCCAGTGTTGCTCAGTGGTTGAGCATGGACCTATGAACCAAATGGTCATGGTTCAATTCCTGGTCAGTGCACCTACTTAGGTTGTGGGTGTGTCTGTGTGTGTGTGTGTGTGTGTGTGTGTGTATTAGTATAAAGAAAACTCACCTTCAACATCCACATTCCTTATTCTAAAAATGAGATGGGTGTTCGTATAACTGAACAGGATTTTTTTTCACTAACATTCCCATCCTACACATCAAAGGGCTGAACTGTGGAGGAAAGCAGTGCCTAACCTTGGGTCACCTAGCAGTGGGTCACCTAAGATGGTGTGTTTGGCTTTACCCCAAATTATGAAAGTTTTTATTTATACTGTACTGAGGAATTTGCTGTCACAAAACCAACGGTTCATCTGGGTCTTGGCTGCAATATCAACTTACATAAAAGTCCAAATTTCCATGCATTAGTCATCACTGCAGAGAGACTGTGGCACCTCCTTTACATGGAGAGAACCTTTCTATATCCATGTATCTGAAATCATCTAGCTGTCCTGACAGCAGGAGGACAGACTTCAGATAGTTTAGATCTGAGCAGAGGACTATGGAATTACTGCATACAGTTTGAAAATCTGTCTACAATGTTTAAATGTGCTATTTTTAAAATATATATAGATGTCATTAAGATAAAATTTAAAAAATAATCTCAAATTAGTTATGTAACATTATATATTTTCTCAATTAATGGATAGTAAAAGACAATCCCCTATCACTTGTGGTTGTCATAATATTTTGACATTAAAAGGGGGTCCTTGTTATAGAAGTAGCTTGACACAGTAAAATTCAAATCCTTCAACATTACAGAGGATAAATGATACATGTCATTATTATATATTTTTAAACAAAAATTATGCTTAAACACTAAATGGCTAAATTTTTCATTTCGTAAGTCAAGAAAAGAAAAGCTGTTGCAGAATATAGCCTCAGTGTTTTAATAGGAGAGATCTTATTCACTGTTTACAGATTCTCTGATGAAAGTGGGCTGGTCACTAGCCAGGTGACCCAAATGACGCCAAAAACCCAGGGCAGCTCAGGGGCCATTAAAAGTTGACAGTCTTGGCTGGCTTCACCTCATCCATTTCAGAGGACAGCCAGCGGTACGTGCGATGACGCCGCAGCACCTCGATGGCCTTCAGTTCCAGGGGAGTGGCCTGAATACCAAGGTCTTCCAAGCCAGGCAAGTGAGGCAATGTCATGTCGGTGATGTGAACCTTTGAACAAACAAAGAACCACAGAGAACACTGACTGCAGTCCGAGAACGCCACAGGCTATCCAGCAAGCACTTAACCCTCCAGCTGAGACCCATTACTCATGCTGATACTTCACTGTTCTCAAAGGATATGTGGCAGTGCTTGATTCCTGGCACGCTCTAAAAGTTGACCACAGGAAATGGGTTTAAGGAAAAAAGAGCAAGTTCACCAAATAGCAGCTCAAAGGTCCCCAGCACTATCCACAAGCACAGAACACAGGCTCTAAGGAAGTCATTCTACAGATTTAAACAGAAATAAATCTAAAGTGAGAGGCATAAGTTGTCAAATTTGTCAGAGGTGGCTTTATAGGTTTTAAGTAAAATATAGGATTTAAAGCCTGTGTGTCCATGCTCTGAGCACAGGCTTTCTGTTTCAGTTTTAACTGTTGAATTACAGAAATAACCAGCATTTGTGCTTGCTCATTAAGAGATAATATATTAACCTTTGTACTCCAGCTATATTTAACCTGGTTGACTAATGCTCAGATCTAAAAATCCAATCTTTACAATCATCTTGATGGTAAAGAAGAAAAATGAACTATAAGACTTAAAAAGATCCTTTATCCTCCCACCTGACCTAGCCTGCAATTCTTTTACCAGTGCTGTAAAGCAACCTTCAAACCAAATCTAAAACCCATTACGCCTACCGTAATACTTCTTCATTTACAAATGTGAGAGGCACAATAGTGCAAGATACATTCTGATAATTAGTTTTCTTGCCCAATTTTTGATGAATATACAGGATACCTTGAAATTGTCTTAGCTTTCTACCCTATCGGCTGTCTGTTCACATTTTTTCTCCAAGGACTATTTTTTCATCTTCTCTATATTTTAGCTTTCAGGTAACATTCAAAGGACAACCTGGCTATTTCTTATTGATAAAAGGCCAATAGGTCTTCAAAGGTAGAGGTGGTATATTATTCTTATTTTATTTTGTGTCCTCCCTATAAACTTTTATAGGCAGTGGGTGAATGATCAATGAGTCAGACTAGAATGGGAGACAGCAGGCTGGGAAGAGAGCGAGCTCTGGAGTCCAACACACTGCAGAGGGACCAGAGACACAGCAGGAGACCGCTCAAGGCAGTAAGAAAGAAAACTCTATCCATTTGGATTAAAGTGGGTAGAAGAGATACAATTATTTCCTTTACCTTTCTGTAAGTTAAAAAATTTAAATACTATTATAAACATTTTCATAACAAGCTGAATAAAAAGATAGAAAAAAAAGTTGTAAGATCTGGCGCATATTTGAGGGTTGCCAGAATCATACTTGCTAATGGTGTAGAGCTGTGCTTTCAGATAAGATAGCCACTAATCAAATTTAAGTTAACTAAAATTAAATAAAATTCAAAATCACACAAGCCACATGTCAAGTGTTCAATAGTGACATGTTGCTAGTGGTTACATCTTAGACACTGTAGATCATAAAACATTTCCAGCACTGCAGAAGTTCTATGAGAGAGCACTGATTTAGATCTAGACTGGATGGGAAAGAAAAATCCTACATTTTTTACTTGACAAACAGAGCTAATAGTGATAATGCTCATTGTGATGACAGAGGCAGGTTTGCAATTCTATTTTTGGACCTGTTCTATTTCAGATGACTATAGTATTATCTAAATTGGTAAGCACCCATTGCTGGGTTGGGGAGCTATTCAGGGCTGGAGATGGAACTGCAGTAATGAGTTACAGACAGCAGCTGGAGCTAGGTGAGGGTCATTTACAGGATAAGCAAACATGGCAAAAGGCTGAGGAGAGAGCCCTTGACTCCCCGAACATTTATAGAGATCAGGAAGAGAATGACCCAAGAAGGCAGACCGAAAAGCATGGCCCAACAAGAGGAGAAAATCCAAGAGAATGTAGAACTGGCCAGAAAAGAGATGGAAATTCAGGGTTGCAAGGAGAGAGCACCTCATGGATGCAGCAAGATGATGTCAAAAAACTCACTATGGAGTTGGCAGAATGGAGATCACAGGCACCCTTGAAAAAAAGAACAATTTTAGGGGGAAAATGGGAATAAAAGCCTGAGTGAAGTGTGTTAAAGAAAGAATGAAGTAAAGAAACGGTCAACAGCAGGCACAGCGAGCCCTTCTGAGTTTTGATGTAATGGCACAAACCAACAGGGTGGGAAGGGAGGGTTTTGTCTTTTAAAAAAGAGTGGAGCTTTTATGGCATGTTTGTGTGCTGAGGGAAATGAGCCAACAGAGAAAGGAAAACTAATAGCATCAGAGAAAAAGTAACAGAGGAACCACACCCTGGAGCAAGCAGAGAGTGGGGGAGTCTGAGTGCACAAGTAGAAGGCTGATCTTTCCAGGAGGGTGAAAGACAGACAAGAGCATGAAAATAACCCCAGCAAACAAAAGTCATTTCTCACTGCCAGCCTCTATAATTGGGTTCCTCTTCAAATCATATAAATCTCTCATCTTTTTCTAACTTACCCATCTATGCAGCTCTCTGCCCAGCATCTATCCATGCAGATGTTCAACACACTTATACTCACCCGCTCCACTTTATCCCTCGTTGTCCAGGGGTCAAATGGACTGATTTCAAAGACTCGTGCTATCAATCTAGACAAAGGAATAAACACAGCACATGGGGTAAATGTCTCTATGCCCAATATTTAAGGTGGCTTACAAGAACCACAGGAAGAGAGACTGCTCTAGAGGCATTTTTCTTTAAAGAAAACCTCCCAGCTCCAGCCGGTTAGGCTCAGTGTATAGAGTGTCGGCCTGCAAATTGAAGGGTCCTGGGTTCAATTCCGGTCAAGGGCACAAGCTGGGGTTGCCGGCTCAATCTCCAGTATGGGTGTGTGCAGGAGGCAGCCAATCAATGATTCACTCTCAGCACTGATGTTTGTATCGTGCTCCCCCTCTAAAATCAATAAAAATATTTTTTAAAAATAAAGGGGAAAAATCACCCAGTTGGCATGGCTCAGTTGTTGAGTACCAACTTATGAACCAGAAGGTTCTTCGTTCAACTCCTGATCAGGTTACATGCCCAGATTTTGGGCTCGATCTTTAGTGTAGGGTATACAGCAGGCAGCGGATCAATGATTCTCTCTCTTTATTGTTGTTTCTATCTCCCTCCCTCTCCCTTCCTTTCTGAAATCAATGAAAATTTAAAAATTAAAAGAAAGAAAAGAACCAACATCCTGGCACAACTCTCTTTGAGATTACCTTTTCTTTCAAGTTAACCCAGAAGTGTAACCCTGTAACTCCTTATTCTCTACCAAAGAGACAACTAATCTTAAAAAGTGAAAAAAAAAAAAAAAAAAAAAAGTTACTATCACCAACAAAACAAACAAAATGATCCAACATTCAGAAGTGTGAAATTCAATCTAATTTAAGCCTCAGATATTCAAATATGCTTCCATTAGCATGTAGGGCAAGTTGAGTAGTGTGCAAATATTAATAAGACCTACTGTGTGCCAAGCACTGGTCTAGGTGTTAGAGATAGAGATGTGAACAAATAGCAATACTCCCCCTTTGTTTTGTTTTTTTGTTTTTGTTTTTAATTATTATATATTTTTAAATTTATTTTTATAGAGATAGGAAGGGGAGGGGGGAGAGAAAAAACATCAATGTGAGAGCATAACATTGATTGGCTACCTCCTGCCATACCCCAAATGGGGATGGAACTCGCCATCAGGGCATGTGCCCTGACTGAGAATTAAACCAATGACCCTTCAGTGCAGAGGACAACACCCAACTAACCGAGCCACACCAGCAAGGCCAATGCTCCCCTACAAAACATTCATTCATTCATTCATTCATTCTATCCTTAAAACACTCCTTTTCCAAAACTAATACTGCATGTAAACTATAATTGAAAAAAAATTCAATTTTTTCAATAAAGGCAGAAAGTCAAAACATCACTATTCTTTGGGTATTTAGGCTTCCAAACTCTACATATTTCACTTAAGCATTCTTATTACACTTTTTTAGCCTCTGTGACAAAGTTATTCTGCTGGTTCTTTAAATGTAGGTATTCCTCAAGCTCTGTCCTAGCCTCCCTCTTTCACTCAACACTATACACTCTTCCCTACCTACTTCAGAATCATTATAAGTATTAAATGAGGAGGAAGTAAAGACAGCCTGAAAATAGAACACTCTCTATAGGTATTATCATCACAATACATTCTAATTGACTACTGTTCGGATACCTAGTGTGGGATATCAGATGTTACTGTAACATCACAAGTGCCTAGTGCACTGCCAGGCATTTGATGAACAAACAAATGAAGGAGTGAACTGCATGCTGTTTATAAGAAAAATCTGGCAAACTGAATGTGAAAGTGTGTGACATAATTCTGAGCTTCTAAACCTATAAATGAAAGAAGTGAACCAAGAAGCAGGAAAATAAGACAAGGCAACCATAGGCCAAGTCTAAACTAACCTAGCTCCTTTCCCCAACTGCATGAACAGAATGGTTTAATAAAGAGGAGTCCCTTTGCCAATTCTGGGTAAGTGATATGAAACAGAGAAATCTGATCTCTCCTTTATCCAACCTGCCAAGATACTTTTCCACATTAAAACTCAATGATTTTTAATTGGAGAATTTGAAGAACTGCAGATTTAACCCATCAACACATCCTTTTCTCATCCACACTAATCTGCATTTCCCTTTCTTAGATGTCTTTGGTTCTTTCCTAGACTAACATCAAGATATCAGGACAACATTGTAGTTAGAGATTCTGAGACTTCACTATAAAGGATATACTTCCTATAACCGTAAGTGAGAGAGCATTACGAACAAATGTATCTAGTTAGCTCTATTTTAGAAGGCACAAAAAGAAGTGCTTTACTTACTGATAGGCAAAACGTGGCAAAGGGTATGGGAGAAAGGGTCTGTGAGCCATAGCATAGATATACTGCACCAGGTCAAAAAGTAGGTATCGATTGGGCCTATGAAAAACAAAATGCAATTATTCAAATTATTTGCACCTACAAATTCACCTTTTTAATTTAACAAAATAACATTTTCCTATAACAAAAGAACACATATGCACTATGATAAATATAGATCAGCACAAAGGAAAATCATCATAATCCCACCAAAGACAATATTAATATATTTCAAATATATCCTTTTCATCTCCTTACATATACATTGGTGTTTTTATAAATATAAGATTACAGTTCATCTTATTCTGTAAAGTCTTTTTCATTTAACATTAAATCACAATCATCTATCAATGTCATTAAATATTCTAGTGCATGTTTAATACTTGCACATACTGCATGTATAGTAATTATAACTATTTTACCAATTCCCAATTTTTGGATGTTTAAACTATTAAAATATTTTTCTTTTATAAAATAATGCTTTAATAAACATTCTTATAGTAAAGATCTGTACTCATCCATAATTATGTGTTTACTAGAGGCCCGGTGCATGAAATTCATGCAGTCAGGGGATAGGGTCCCTCAACCGGGCCTGAACCCTCTTGCAGTCTGGGAGCCCTCAGGGGATGTTTGACTGATGGCTTAGGCCCAAAGAGTGAGCTTAAGCCATCAGTTGGACATCCTTAGCATTGCCATGGAAGTGGGAGAGGCTCCTGCCGTCACCGCTGTGCTGGTCAGCCTTGAGCCCAGCTTCTGGCTGAGCGGTGCTTCTCCTGTGGGAGCACACTGACCATCAGGGGGCAGCTCCTGCATTGAGTGTCTGCCCCCTGGTGGTCAGTGCAGGACATAGCGATCAGTTGTTCTGCTGTTTGTTCTATTTGCATATTAGCCTTTTATTTATACAGGATTATTATATAGGATAATACATTCTAGAAGTAGAACTAGCTAAAAAGTATACTTTGAGATTTTAAGGCTTTTATTGAATATATCCAAACTGCCTTCTGAAAAGATTATATTGATTTACATAAAATGCTAGTAGTCCTCCTCACCAAAAATGAATTTAGTCATATAAAAATAAACAAAATTGCCGAAACTGGTTTGGCTCAATGGTAGAGCGTCGGTCTGCGGACTGAAAGGTCCCAGGTTCAATTCCGGTCAAAGGCATGTACATTGGTTGCGGACACATCCCCAGTAGGGGATGTGCAAGAGGCAGCTGGTCGATGTTTCTCTCTCATTGACGTTTCTAGCTTTCTATCTCTCTCCCTTCCTCTCTGTAAAAAAATCAATAAAATATATATTTTTAAAAATAATAAAATAAACATAAATTTGTCAATCTGACAAGTAAAAAAAAAAAAAGGTACCTCAAAGTTTTAATTATTATTATTTTAATGCCAAAGATTAATTTTTTTCTTTATATATTTTTGGCATTTACACTTCATTTTTTTCCTCCTGGGGTCCCTAACTACAAGAATGATCTGTTAAAAGTTCTTTATATTTTAATAATAAAGTTGGAAATATCTTTTATTGTTTATTCTTTACATTTTAATGTTTAAGTGTTTTGTGACATATAAAAGTCTAAACATTTCACTTACTACTACTGATTTATTTTATGGTTTGGCTTTATATTTAGAAAATCCTTCTCCAGTCATCAGTGACATAACTTTCCATATATCTTTACTAATACTTGTACCAATAAGTTATTTTTAAATCCATAACATCAGTACCTTTAGCAATATGTTTTTGTATTATTATAAGGTAAAGATATAACACTGAATTATCTAACCTTCCCCCATATTTTTAAATGTTGTCTTTATCACATACCATATTCTTACATATACTTAAGACTGTTTCTGAACTTTATATTCCATTCTCCTAATCTGAATAGTTCTGAACCAGTAAAACCTTGCTTTAGTAATTATTGTTGCTTCTAATACATTTTAATATCTCTTCACCCACTTTCCTAATCCCTTTTGGATCAGAAAGCCTGTGTTAACTCAGTGAAATGAAAGGAATTTATTAGTAAGAACCTCATCATTCTGATATTTTCACCCAAAGGCAAAACAAATAAAAAGACAGAAAATGTCAGCTAGGAGACAAAGCCCTTAAATAGCTTTTTTTCTAATCCAGAAGGACGTGAAGATCACTGAAGGGCATATAATATATGCTGTGCCAAAGAACAACCTGTAATCTTTTTGATACCAAGCAATGCTGGACCCATGGGCAAACTAATACGTAATATCCTTCCTTTTCAGCTCTTCTAAAGCACTTTGTGTTCCATTAACAGTGATTTGAAGACTGGTTTAAATGCCCCTGCTCACAGACAAAGGTACACTGTAGCCTGTGTCCATCCCAGCTTAGATTTCATGGTCATTCCTCTGCAAATATCCTCAATAAAATCTTGTCCTCTAGCCTCCTCTCCAATATACCAATGTAGCAAAACCCATACTCTGGTTAACCCAAATATTCTCCTTCTCAGCGCCTAAACCACCAGCAAGACAGTTGTAGAGAAAGTACAACTGGGTGAATGGACTTCACCTTTGATTTTTGATCACTACCTTCAAATGGAAGACTTAGTTCTGCTTTGCAATCCTATTCTCTCCTAGGAGTGCCCTTTTTCTGTTCTCCTAGGTAGTATTTCCATCTCTTCTGTGTCAGACTTTCCATACTACTCTCTGATCCACCCATCCTTTCAGTGATGATCTCCGCACTTGTCTGTTTATCATTTTCTTAACTGTGTCTTTGGAATACAAATGTTTTTAATTTTGATCAAGTCTAATTTATCCATTTTTTTCTTTTATGGTGTATGCCTTTGTCATATATAAAAAACTCTTTGCCTAACCCAAGATCTAGAAGATTTTTTATTAATTTTCCAAAAGTTTCAACACTTATATTTAGGTCTCCGATATATTTTGAGTTGATTTTTTCATGTATGTGTAAGGGTCAATGTTCATCTTTTTGCATTTGGATATACCCATACCATTTGTTAAAAAGATTATCTTTTCCCCTTTGAATTGTTATGGCAACTTTGTCAAAAAGACACCACTGATAAGGTTTATTTCTGGACTATCAAGTCTGTTTCACTGACCTATGTGTCTATTTTTATGGCAGTACCACACTGGATAATTACAGCTTTATAGTAAGTTTTGAATTTAAGAAGCTTAACTGCTACAACCATACAATTCTTTGACAAAATGGTTTCAACTACTGTGCTTCTTTTGCATTCCATGTAGATTTATAATCAATTTGTTAATATCTGCAAAAAAAAAAAAAAAAAAAAAAAAAAAAAAAAAAAAAAAAAAAGCCTGCTGGAATTTTGATAGGATTAAGTTGAAAATATAGATTAGTTTTAGGAAAATTGCCATTTTAACAATATTAACTATTCTAATCCATGAACATGAGATGTCTTTCCATTTATTTAGGTCTTCCTTAATTTCCCTTAGCAATGTTTTGTAATTTTCAGTGTATAGGTCTCTACTTCTCTTGTTAAATTTACACTTAAGTATTTTATTCTTTTTTATGCTATTTTGAATAAAACTATTTTCTTAATTTTATTTTAGATTGTTCATATGCTAACAGGAAAATTATTTTTTACTTGCTGATCTTGAACCTTATGATCTTGCTGAACTTATTAGTTCTCACAGGAGTGTGTGTTTGAGACCATAGGTATTTATTAAATGAACAATAAGCAGAATGGGCCAATATCATATAATTAGTAACTATGAAAAAACTAGAAGCAAAATTCAGGTCTTATGCTTCTGCCTTAATCTCAAAGTGTCAAGAAAACAAGCAAACTTTTCCCCCAGAACTGAAGAGGCAAAAGAGAAATATAGATGTATTTTTATAATTTCATAAGGGAAAATACCTACACTGCCAAGTCTAGCATTACTTGACGCATCACTGTGCCAAACAAGTATGACTTGCCAGGGCCTAGCAAAGAGACTTTAGCGGCTAGGCAAAGCCAAAGAAAATGGCTAACTCATCCCAGAGCCATCCCCACTGAGCAGGAAGCAAACAAAGTTTGTAAAGCCATTTCTGTTCATCTGTTCCTTAGCATCCTGGTCTAAGTACCTCTTAACTAAATTGTGAGGTGTTTGAATCCTGTGTTTTACAAAACCTGTGCTAAACACATTTTGTAAGTAATTTTTCTAGGTCATATCTCTGCATGCTAATGTACCAAACTGGGAACTCAAAGAGAGACATACATCTTGCAGCTGGTTGACATGGAAACACACTATAGTCTTTTTAGGCACCAAAAAAATTTTTTTAACTAAACTTATAATAATAAGGAAACATAAAAATGTATGAATTCATTATCCTGAAAATAAATACTATGCATCTGGTTGAGAGAGAAAAGTGTCTTTTTTGTAGAATCAAATATTTCTTACAAATTAGGCTATCCCTTCATTGTTGAATCAGATCCCCACATGTCACAAAACATCAGGCACCACTAGTTTCCTAAACAGAACGATGGGGTTCTGAGCCAATTATTAGATGGATCTGATATTTTTGAACTTGATAGATTGTCTTAGTTTTTTAGTCTTAGTCAATTCAGTATAAAGGTTCTAAACCTATCTATATCATAATTTAACAATTTCAGGAAAGTCAATTTAACTGTATCTCATTTTTCTGGAGAACAAACTTCAACAAAGAGAGCATATAACAAAAGATCAGTCTTGCACAGAGTTATTAGCAACTGTATCCTTAGCTAGCCATTTTCTACCTTTGGGGGCATTAAAATACTTTAGCAAAATTAATTTGATTTTGTAACTGTACTTATCCCCTAAAAGTATTCTGTGTTTTAGCATTTATAGTAATATCCTTTTATATATTAAAAACTAGAGTGATACAAAACCATCTGCGGTGGTCATGGGACTATGTATATATAATTCTCTAGGGTGGTTCTCAGCCTTTGGTGACAGAAAAATCACTTATTATAAAGCAGATTCCCAGGTTCCTTCATATTCTGATTTAATATAAGCATTCAGAAGATTCTGATAATGATGGCCTTTGGACAACTCTTTGAGATACACTGGTCTAAGGACTAAGAGAGTAGGTTTCTGGAATAAATACATAGAAGAAAGAAATTATAAAAACGCAATGAATAAATCTGTTAGTGAGTGACATGTTTAGAAATTATTATTGCTGTAAATCAATTGGTACTTCATTTTAACAGGTAACACAATTTTAAAGTCAAACTCTAACCACCTACCCAACAAAGGCAAAAGTTTTCCCTTTGGCATCTGGCTCCTTAACTGCATTCACAATTCCTTTGGATACATCTACAACCTATAAGAAATTTTAACACATGTTTAGGTGATTGTTTACAAAGAGAGGGAAGGAAATAGAGAGATTCAAGAGAGAGAAAAGAAAAAGAAGGGAGACAGGAAAAGAGAAAAGGAGGGATGGAAAGAGGGACGAAGCAAAGAAGGCCACATCAATCACACACACAAAGACAAACCCATGAAAAAATTAAAATAATGGCTTGTCTGTTTTCAGAAACTTATTGTAAAACAGACTTCTTAAGAGCTCAAACCATCCCTACATTAGAAGTTTTAAATACTTTTTCTAGTCAAAGATATTTATCTTCATATTAGAGGCCCAATGCACGGATTTGTGCTCTAGTAGGGTCCCTCATCCAGGCCTGTGGGGATTGGGCCAAAATCGGCAGTCTGACATCCCACTCATCCTAGCCCCACTGTGCCTGCCACCACTCAGTAGTGCTCTCATGGAGGTGGGAGAGGCTCATGCCACTGCAGCTGCGCTTGCCAATTGTGAGCCCGGTGTCTGCATCTGTTGGTCAGTTAAGCAGCAATCCTACTGTGGGAGCGCACTGACCACCAGAAGGCAGCTCCTGCTTTGATTTTCTGCCCCCAAGCGACCAGTTGACCAGTCATTGGATAGTTTGATCACTTAGACTTGTATATATATATAGATGGCTGTCATGCCTTCCTGATGTGCCTTTGCCCACCACAACTCCAAGCTCCTAATTCTGTTACTAAACTATCTCAAATTATTAGGCTAAACCACATGGGCTGGCCTATAATTCTACCACTTTGACTTTCAAAAATAATTAATTTTATATAGTTTCAAATCTATAGTTTTCGGCCTGGGGTGACTTTGACATCCAAGAGACATTTGGCAAATGCCTAGAGACAGTTTTAATTGTCACAACTTGGGGGTTAGTAGGGGATGTTACTGCCATCTGGTGTCCAGAAGCCAGGAATACAGTTACAATAGCTCCTACAACAAAGAACTGATTATCTGGCCAAAAATGTCAATAGTGCCACAGTCGAATGAGAAATCCTAGTTCAATATAATATGGAATCCAACATGCTCTCTCACCTCTGGGATCCTGTACATACTGTTCCCTCTGCATAGGATACCCTTCTCGAAACTCTTCATCTGATTTACTGTTAATCATTTTTAAGGTCTCATCTGATATGTCATTTCCTCTGGGAGGTTGTTCCTGACCATCAAGTCTAGCTAGATTAGGTATCCCTCTCACTTAACCCTATAAATCTCTCTCCCAGTCATGGCACTGATCACACTGCATGATCATTGCTTTGCTGATATGCCTCTGATGGAGACCAACTTGAGGATAGCAAATGTATATATAGTTAATCTATGTCTGCCATGACATGTACAGTGTATCTAGTACATTAAGGGATCAATATATTTTCCTTAAATGAACGAATAAGACATAGAGAATTCATGTCACTCTTGGGTAAACTGAAAGGCAACCAGTTGATTCAAACTGACAAATAAGAAAATGACAAGAGTTTTAGGATTAGGATAAAATCAGAAAACTGATCACCCTTCATCCACAGTACTTACAAATACTGGTTGTTTCACTGTCTTCATGCCCAAGGACACAAGAGGTACACCACCAAAACAGCGCATATCTGGCAGAAGAAAGAACTATTCTTAGAACGCTTAAGCTGCTAAAAACTCATCACCTCCAGGTATTCCAGGTTAGCATAATCATTTTGCATAACAGAAATAATGAAATAAATGTAGGTGAATCTGAGGAAATGAATGAGCAGATCTTTTCTTTTCAGACAACAGATATGGAAAGTAAAAAGGCCAAATACAGGGTATGGCAAAGATAGGATTACAGTTGTGTGTAGGTGAAACACAGAGTTTATCCTTGTATTATTTGTTAGTATATTATTTTTCATACTCATAACTGTAAACCTACTTTTGCCCATCCTGGATTTAAGGACACTGAGAGAAAGGGAAACAGGTCAAATGGCTTGGCTACTTGTCTTCTGCTCTATAATGCTAAATGTATGACCACTCCTAAGACTGGATTCGAAAACAAAATTGAACCCCATTTTAAGGAGGATATAACTATCAACAGATCAGTGATATAACGTACATAACCTAGAAAAAGATGCTGTTAAGAATGGGAATTTAGGCCCTGGATTGGTGGCTCAGTTGGTTGGCCCATTATCCCCATCCACCAGAAAAGGTTGTGGGTTTATTCCCTAGTCAGGGTGCATATGGGAGACAACCTATTAATGTTTCTTTCTCACACTGATGTCTGTCTGTCTGTCTGTCTCTCTCTCTCTCTCTTTCTCCCTCCCTCCACCAACTCTACAGTCAATAAAAATATATCCTCAGGTAAAGTTAAAAAAAAAAAAAAAAAAAAGGGAATTTAGTATATAAAAATGCAGTATCACAAATACATGGAAAATGGAAATATTATTTAATGCATGGTGCTGAGACAATACTACTTGTGAAAAAAAAGAAATGGTTCACATCTCACCATAAAATAAAACAAATAAAATCCCAAATGGATTAAATGTACAGGTAAAAAGAGCTTTTCAAAAAAAAATTTTAAGTATAAATTAGTTATAAGAGCATCAGAAAAAGAATTAAAATACATAGGAAAAACTTAACCAGGTTGGCTAAAGCCCTACACAATGAAAACTATGAAACATTACCAAAAATATTTAAAGACACAAATGAAAAGACATCCATGTTTGTGAATTGGAAAACAATACTATTAAAATATCCATAGTGCCCTAGGAGTTATACCAAACATTCAAGGAAGAACTAAGACCTAACCTCCTCAGACTATTCCAAAAAATTCAAAAGGAACACTTCCAAGTTCATTCTATGAAGGAACACTTCCAAGTTCATTCTATGAAGCCAGCATCACCCTAATACCAAAGTCAGATAAAGACAACACAATGAAAGAGAATTATGGGCCAATATCCCTCATGAACAAAGATGCCAAAATCCTCAACAAAATTCTAGCAAATTGGATCCAGCAATATATCAAAAAGATCATACACCATGACCAAGTAGAATTTATCCCAGGGATGCAAGGACGGTACAATATCCGCAAATCAATAAATGTGATACATCACATAAACAAATAAAGATAAAAATCACATAATTATTTCAATTGACGCAGGAAAAGCATTTGACAAAATCCAACACCCAATCCAACACCTCTTCTTGATAACAATTCTCAGCAAGGTGGGAATAGAAGGATTATACCTCAACATAACAAAAGCCATATATGAAAAACCCACAGCCAACATCATACTCAATGAACAAAAACTAAAACCATTTCCCATAGGAACAATACAAATGCCCACTCTCACCACTCCTGTTCAACATATAATAGTACTGGAAGTACTAGCCATTGCAATCAGACAAAAAGAATTTATAAAAGGCATCCAAATTGAAAAAGAAGTAAAACTGACCTTATTTGCAGATGACATGATATTGTACATAGAAAATCCTAAAGACTCCATCAAAAAAATTATTAGACTTAATAAATGAATTTGGCAATGTAGCAGGATACAAAATTAATGCCAAGAAATCTATGGCATTTTTTACACCAATAGTGAACTTATAGAAAGAGAGACTAAAAAAGCAATCTCATTTACCATCGCACCAAAAAAATTAAGATACCTAGGAATAAACTTAACTAAGGAGGTAAAAGACCTATATAGGAAAAACTACAGGACACTGAAAAAATAGAGGAAGATAAAAACAGATGGAAGAACATACCGTATTCATGAATTGGTAGAATCAACATCATCAAAATGTTCATACCACCCAAAACAATCTACAGATTCAAGGCAATCCCCATTAAAATACCAATGGCATATTTCACAGACCTACAACAAACTTTCCAAAAATTCATCTGGAATAAAAGACACCGGGCAGCAATCCTGAGAAAGAAGAACAAAGTAGGTGGGATCTCAATAACACATTTCAAGCTATATTACAAAGCCACTGTTCTTAAAACAGCCTCATACTGGCACAAGAACAGACATATAGATCAATGGAATAGAATAGAGAACCCAGAAATAAACCCAAACCACTATGCCCAATTACTATTTGACAAAGGAGGCATGAACATACAATGGAGTTAAAACAGTCTCTTCAATAAATGGTGCTGAAAAAATTGGACAGATACATGCAAAATAAATAAATAAAACTAGACCACCAACTTACACCATACACAAAAATAAACTAAAAATGGATACAGGACTTAAACATAAAGTCAGGAAACCATGAAAATACTAAAGGAATCCACAGGCAGTGAAATCTCAGACATATGCCGAAGGAACTCCTTCCCAGATACTGCTCCTTGGGCTATGGAAACTAAAGAGAAAATAAACAAATGGGACTACATCAAAATAAAAAGCTTTTGCACAGCAAAAGAAACCATCAACAAAACAACAAGAAAGCCCACTGCATGGGAGAACATATTTGCCAATGCTATTTCAGATAAGGGTTTAATCTCCAACATCTACAAGCAACTCATACAACTTAACAAAAGGAAGATAAACAATCCAATCAAAAAAATGGGCAAAAGACCTAAATAGACACTTTTTGAAGGAGGACAAAAGGCCAAGAGACATATGAAAACATGCTCAAAGTCACTAATTATCCCAGAGTTGAAAATCAAAACAACAATGCAGTATCATCTCATACCTGTCAGAATGGCTATCATCAACAAATCAACAAAAGACAAGTGCTGGCAAGGATGCGGAGAAAAAGGAATTCTTTTGCACTGCTGGTGGGAATGCAGACTGGTGCGGCCATTGTGGAGAACAGTATGGAGTTTCCTCAAAAAACTAAAAATGGAACTCCCATTTGACCTAGTGATCCCACTTCTAGGAATATATCCCAAGAAACTAGAAACACCAATCAGAAAGGATATAGGCACTCATATCTATGTTCATAGTGCAATAATTTACCATAGCTAAGATTTGGAAACAGCCTAAAGTGCCCATCAGCAGATAAGTGGATTAAAAAAACTGTGGTACATCTACACAAATGAAATACTACACTGCAGTAAAACAGGAATTCTTACCATTTGCAACAGCATGGAGAGCATTATGCTAAGTGAAATAAGCCAGTCAGAGAAAGATAAATATCACATGATCTCACTCATTTGTGGAATATAATGAACAACATAAACTGATGAACAGGGACAGACCCAGAGACAGAGAAGCATTGATCAGACTGCCAAACCTCAGAGGGAAAATAGGGAAAGGTGGGGAAAAGGAGGAGATCAACCAATCAACATAATCTTAGTCTGTCAAGTGAGAGAACTCTGTTAACTTATGCTTAAATTTAGTTAACCAGTCTCCCGTTTTCTACCATCTATCTATCTATCTATCTATCTATCTATCTATCTATCTATCTATCTATCTATCTATCTATCAAACCCCAATATGCAAATAGACTGAACAGCAGAACAACCGAACAACTGGTCACTATGACATATGCTGACTATCAGGAGGTGTGTGCGGAACATGGCGGGTGTTGGCAGCAGGTGGGATGGTGGAGCAAGTGAGTGAGGGCGCCAGACAAAGGTGGGGAGCTGGTAACTATCATCGGGACGAGCCTCTGGTGGTTACTAAAAATTCTTTGCTCTCGCACACTGTGGTCCTGCCTGGCACTCACACCTGCTGCTAGAGCCAGCCCTGCTTGCACCAATGCCAGCACCAGAGCTGCTGCTCACACCTGCTGCTGGCAACAGGCGCCAACCTAATTGCCCCTCAGGGCTTCTCCACCTACCCCTGCTCCTGAGGCGTGATCGAGGACGGCAGCCACCACTCACACCCACTGCTGGCTAGGGCCCCACTTGCACCCGCTGCCAGTGCCCTGCATCAGTCCAGATTGCTCGGCTCTGTCAGCAGGTGTGAGCAGAAGTTGCCTGCCCTAATTGCCCTTAGAGCTTTTCCACCTCCCCCTGCTCAGCAAGTGTGAGCAGCAGTGGCGAGAGCAGGGCTGCCAGCAGACAGGGGACAGCAGACAGAGGACTGGGGGAACGTGGCAGGAGGGGCCAAGTAGTGACAGGGAAGATGGGCCAACACCCGTCTCTATGCCCACTGCAGCCTTGTGGCCCACAGTTCCTTTCAAGGTGCACAAATTTGTGCACTGAGCCTCTAGTTAAGAAAGAATACACACTTGCAAAATAATTGAGGAATCTATCTTCTCGTCCAAAGAGGTCTGATGGCTTTATGATAGTGGCGTCTGGAAACGCATCTCTCACTTCTTTCTCTCCAACAGCCTAAAGGAACCAAACAAACAGTTCTGAAATGAGTGAAAAAAGCATCCATTTTTTTCACTATTGGGACACTACTTATATTTCAAAGGTCATATGTTCCTCCCGATTAAGATAATGGTACTACTGTTCATCAATCTCAATTACACAGAAAATTTTTAAATCACACATTAAAAAAAGTCCCTGTCTCTTATAGCTCTTGTTGAGTTTCTTCTCATACTTATTTTAGGGAAGCTTACACAGAGGAGAAAATCAGAGAAGAATTTTCCTAGCCTCCATTTTTCCTTCTAATCACACATCCTCCGGTTTGTGTCAACAACTTATTATCCTGCCAGAGAAAGAGCTGTGTGGTTGATCGGGTAGGTCCTTAATCTTCCTGTCCTCACTTGTTGTCATCTACTCACCTCCTAAACAAGGCCTCTTATTCAATGCAGATATCAATCTTCCTTTCCACCCCAATTTTCTTTCCACCTACACCACCACTGTGGGTGACATCAATGCCCAAGTGGACTTGGATCTGTTTCTTGAGCTTCTCAACTCCAACGATCACCTCTTCAGTCCACTCTGCACTTTCAACTCGGTCAGGACACAGACCATATCAACAACTAGAAGTGCCCTTCTTCTGAAACTAAATGAAGACACCTTCCTCTCAGAGAACAATTTCCTCTACTTCCAGCCTGCTTGTTCTTGCTTATCTATTCCTGACATAATCTGTTTCTCAACCTTTTCAGGAACTCTAGTCCACTGATTTTGCTTTTCTCTATATCAATCCCTCTAAACATCTTTTGTCTCTGATTAGATTCCACAGTCCAACTTTTCAATCACTCTCTTACCAATACTGTAAAATGCCTTGTCATTTTATCTACCCACTAGGCAAAATACAATCCTAGGAAAACCCCATCATTCTCCTTCTCTGAGCCATGAACTCCTCTGCCTTTAGAATTGGAAGAAATTAAATAAAAATCACAACTTGGTATTATTATATGGTCATGCGCATATAGTATTTTGGTCAGCAACAGACTACATACACTATGGTGAACCCATAAGATTACAATGAAGCTAAGAAAAAAAAAAATTCCCATAATCTAGAGATGAAGTAGCCATTTTAACAACTTAGTGCAACACATTACATTTGTGGTGATGCTGATGTAAACAAACCTACTGCACTGCCAGTCATATAAAACAGTATATACAATTATGTACAGTCCATAATAGTTGATAATAATAAACAACTGTTACTTGTTTATATATTTACTATACTTATTGTTATTTTAATGTGTACTCTTTCTAATTATATTTTCACTTGTTCTTGATTTAATCTTGTGTTGTTTGTACAATAATATGCTGTACAGGCTTGTAGCCTTGAGAGCAATAGGCTATACCATCTAGGTTTGTATAGGTGCACTCTACAATGTTCATAAGACAAAATGGCATGACAATGCATTTCCCAGAATGTAACTCTGACACATGACTATAAATTCACCAGTTTTAACTGGGACCTTAACATTTCTCACATAAGAAAACTTATTATTACTTGACTCTCCCATATGACAATTTCAAACATTTTCTATTCTATTCAAATTTCTCCTTTATTTTCCTCTCCCTTTCAGTAAATAGCATTATCTGTTAATGCAAAGAGAAGATATACTGCAGGAAAAAAATCACCTCAGTTCTCAGTACTTAATCTATAAACTCAGGTGCATGAACCAACATTTTCTCCTTCCTTCTTACCACATCAGAGGAGCAATACCACCACCAATGCTTTGCAGCTCACCTCCTTTAACTTTCTCAGGAACCTGCCCCATTTTCTCTCCTATTTCTTCAGTCTCAAGTCTCTTTATGAGCACCATCCCATCAACATTTCAACAATGTCTTTTAAACAAAGATCTTCTACCTTAAAAGAAAAATAATTTTCCAACTTCATGTGACACTCCAGCTTCCTGTCCATCTGTCCCCCAATCCATCCTTTTAACAAATCACCTAAAACAATACTTGCCCTTATTGTCCCACTGCCTCCGCTCCTACTAACTTCTCACTCACCTTTATTCTGTCCCAATGTTTGCACTCAAATGATTCTAGGTTAAGATCACTGACCGATGACCTCTATATCAGTAGATCCAAGGCTACTCTGGAGTTCTCACTTACTTGGCTTCTCAGTAGCACTCATAAGTAACTACTCCCTCCTTGCAACACTCTCTTCCCTTGGCTTTCATAACCTCACATCTACTGGCGTCCCTCCTACCTGATCACGTTCACTCTCAGTCCTTTGTCCTCATCTACCAGACCATTAATCACTGGTATTCCTCTGGGCCCAGTGCAAAGTTCTCTTCTCAATCCTTGTTTCCACACTAGGCCATCTTATCCCCTCCAACTGTTTCAATTATCAAAAAAGGCTGGTGACTCCATAATTTATACCTCAAACCCAGACCTCTCTTCTGAGCTGCAGGATCATAAATCCCATTCATCCCCATTACCTGGACGATTGACACACATCTAAAATGCTACCCATGTCAAAAACTGAATCATCCTCTTCCACTACCCATAAATTGTATTTCTCAATCTTTGCTGCACACTGAAATTACCTAGGGAGAGTTTAAAAATACTGACGCCAAACTGTATTCCAATAGATTCTATTTGAATTGGTCTCAGTGTGGCTTAGGCATCAGGATTTTTCAAAGCTCCTTCAGTGATTCTAATGTGTAGCTAAAGTCAAGTACCACTGCCCTAAAGCTGAGTATCAAATATTTCTCATCTTATACAATAGCACCGCTGTCCACTCAGTGACTTAAGCCAAAGAGCTGGACATATTTGACTTTTCCCTCTTTCTCACCACTAACTTCCCCTGCCCTGTCACTTCCAAACAATCATGAATGCAGATGATTCTATAAATGCCAGGGCAGAGGCAGGCAATGTGAACTTTCTCTCTAGTATAGTAGGAAAATATGAAGCCTACGGTACTCAGTTTTGTGAGTATTAAACACGCGCGCGCGTGTGCGCGCGCGCACACACACACACACACACACACACACACACAGAATCGCAGAGAATGCTGAATCCCTCAAGAACCACGGTTACTGCTAGCTTTTTCAGATATATGGACCTATAAGTTACTTTTTGTTAAGATAGTTTGTACTGAATTTTCTGATGCTAGTAATTAAAAGCACCCTCTCCCCTCCATTATAGGCTCCTACAGCTATTCTGTAATACCTGGTATATCAAGAATTATTTTCCTCGATGGACTAGAAACTAGATATGGGCTAAGACCATGTTTGTTTTATTTACTCCTATATCTACAATGTCTAATACAATGTAGCACATAGTAGATGCTTTATAAACACTTTGTTCAATAAAGGAATGCAGTGGGTCAAAAAGCTGGAGCCACTGTCAAGGACCTCTGATCATTCTCAGTCTTCAATCACCCCTTCAGATGTTGCACGAGGTCATAACTATATAAGGGGTTTGGGAAACCAAGATGATCCTGTACCCTTGATAGGTGACACAGGTATGACTCATTCGGGCAGGAATCATACTCTACCATTTTTGTTAACTGTGTAATTCTATTATGCCCCAAGAAACTGCATTATAGAGGATGATAATATGGTCTATCCATCTTTGAAGTCCCTTAGTATAGTTCCCTGCAAATAGAAGGCACTCGATCAAAATGGCAAAACACAATGCACACGCACATGCTCCCTCACACAAACCCTTTTAATCCTGGATATGTCAATGAGAAACCTGAGTGAAAACTTAATCATGTTTCAAAGGGGCCAGGAAATGCCAGATCTGTGAATTACTTCCCAAATCAACTTATTACGTACCTTATTTCTCAGATATCTAGAAGTACTTTTAATATCAGCATTCAGATGTGAAATGTGAATAAATTTTTCAATTCCGGCTTCCTTGGACACCTGAGCAATTGTTTGGGGAATTTTCACAAAAACATCCTCAAAATCAAAGTTTCTAGAAGAAAAGGAGATCGAATAAGAGCATTTAACTCAGTATTTCAAAGCTTTCTGTAGTAAGCTGATTTTCATTCTATGATAGGATTGGAATTCATAATATCTGAACTATGAAAGAGCAATGATTTCACCCAAAATGAAACTTATTTTATTTTACTGCTCACTGTTATTACTATATATATAATTCAAAGTTTACTAATGTTATAAATCAGCATGCATAATGTTTTGTATCCTCAACAAATTCCAAGTCTGAAGGCCTTGAAAAAAATCTGGCTGCACTGTTTGAGTAGGAATGAGGAAAGCACCAAGACCAGAGAAATCACTTTTTATTCTAGGCCTTTGTTTCTCTCAGGGTTAAAAAGAAGAGTCAGTCACCAGTTTAACCCAACAACATTTACTAAATGTTTACTCTGTTTTACACTGTGTTAATCACTCTGGTAGGTATAATGCTGACTAAGACCCTCCAAGTCATGATATATATGAGGTAGACATATATAAACAAATCTAAGTCAAACTTTAGTAAATGCTACAAAAACAGGTCTGAACAAAGTTCTTGGAACTACAGGTTTTAAACATTAGTGGTTGATAAACAACTCACACAAGAACTGTTCAAACCAGTACTCTTGCCTTCCTAACAATATGGAGAACAGATCTAGAGCACTGTCACACGGGAAAACACAATGGTCACCTTGTTGACAGTGGAACAGGCAAAATTCTCCTACCAAACCCCACCCCAGCTGGAAAGATCCAAGCACAGGACCAGTACTGGTCATCCTGTCCAGATGATGACATGGACCACACTGACACAATCATATATACATCTTATGGGTCGCATATCACACTGCTTTCTTATACCAAACTTATGCAACTAAATCCCCTAAAGGCCGCTGTCGGCAAACTGCAGCTCTTGAGCCACGTGCTGCTCTTTGGCTCCTTGAACGTGGCTCTTCCACAAAATACCACGGCCTGGGCGAGTCTATTTTGAAGAAGTGGCGTTAGAAGTTTAAAAAATTTTGCTCTCAAAAGAAATTTCAATTGTTTTACTGTTGATATTTGTCTCTGTTGACTAATGAGTTTGCCAACCACTGCCCTAAGGGGAAGGGGGGTTGCTATGTATGCAAATGGTTAGTATGTAAACGGTTGCTTTTTTTTAAAATTTAATATATTTTATTGATTTTTTATTTCTTTTCTTTAAAGTAAATCTTTATTGTTCATATTATTATAAATGTTCCTCATTTTTTCCCCCCTCCATTGCTCCCCTCCACCAGGTTCCCATCCCACCCTCTGCCCTTTCCCCACCCCCCATTGTCCTCATCCATAGTTGCAGTTTATGTTCAGTCTCTTCCCACACCCCCCATTTCCCTTTTCCCCGAGAATCGTCAGTTCACTCCCCTTCTATACCTCTGATTCTATTATATTCACCAGTTAATATTGTTCATCAGGTTTTTTTAATTCCCTTGGTTTTTAGATTCACTTGTTGATAGTTACATATTTGTTGTTCATAATTTTTATCTTTATTTTCTTTCTCTTCCGAAAGAACCCCCTTCAGCAATTCATATAATTCTGGTTTGGTGGTGATGAACTTCTTTAGCTTTTTTTTTTATTAGTGAAGCTTTTTATTTGGTCTTCGATTCTGAGTGATAGCTTTGCTGGGTAGATTATTTTTGGCTGTAGGTTCTTTTTTTTTTCTTTCTTTTTTTTTCCCAGTAATTTTTGCATTTATTATAGACCCTAATTTCAGTACTAGAGAGGTTACATTTGCATCACCAAAAAATGAGAATAAATTGATACTACGGTGAAATTCACTCCCCAGCACTACTTTGAAAATATATCTATCGCTAATTTGGTAATAGAAAATCTGATTTGATCCAAATTCTTCAGTCATCGTCTACTGTTGGCTTGATTGTCACTCTTGCTATTCATCACCTTGAATATTTCTTGCCACTTCCATCTGGCCTGCATGGTTTCTGTTGAGAAATCAGCTGACAATCATATAGGTGCTCCTTTATAGGTAACTACCTGCTTTGCTCTTGCTGCTTTTAATATTCTCTCTTTGTCTTTTGCTCTTGGAATCTTAATTATGATTTGTCTTGGTGTGGTCCTCTTTGGATTCCTTTTATTTGGGGTTCTGTGCGCTTCTTGGACTTGTAAGTTTAATTCTTTCACCAGGTGGGGGAAGTTTTCTGTCACTATTTCTTTCAGTATGTTTTCGGTATCTTGCTCTCTCTCATCTTCTGGGACCCCATAATTCTGATGTTGGTTCTCTTGAAGTTGTCCCAGAGGTTTCTTACATTATCTTCAACTTTCTGGATTCTCTTGTCTTCTTGCTTCTGTGAAGTAGTGTCTTCTGGCTCTTTATGTTCCAAATCTTTGACTTGATTCTTGCGATCTTCCATTCTGTTTTTAGGACTCTGTATAATATTTTTTATTTCAGACAATGTATTCTTTATTTCTTGTTGATCCCTTATTATTTCTTATTGATCCCTTATTATTTCTTGTTGATCTCTTATTATTTCTAGTTGACCCCTTTTCATATCCTCATAGGTCTTGTTTATTTTATCAGCCTTTTCTAGGAAATTCTTGAAAAACCTTATAAGTGTGATTTTGAATTCTATATCCAGTCGCTTTTTGTCCTCCATTTCTTTCGTTTGTGATCTGTTTCCTTGACTCGGCATTTTCGCAGCTTCCCTGAGTTGGTAGCCTTAAAAGTCTGTGTTTAGCTTGGATGGGGCAGGGTTTCAGGGTGGAACCTACAGCCTTGGTTTCCCTCAGCCCTGCCCTATGAGGTTCCTGAGTCTCAGTGTTCCTCAGTGTCCTTTGGTATTCACTGCAAGCACCTCTGAGAGAAAGGTGCCCTCGAGTTTCGCCCACTACCGAACAGTCTAGGCTCTCCTCCAATGAGCCCGAAACTGGGGTTCAGTTCAGTTGGAAGTGGAGTTGGAAGTGGGAGTTCAGCGCAGTCTGGAGCTTTTGTCTCCTTCCCGCTAGGGCAATCCAGAGGCACAGTCAACCGTCTGTTCTCTGCGCGCAATGTGCGCACCTCCGAGACTTCCTTTTGCGGCTCCCCTGGGTTTCCGCCTTACAGCCCAGGCTCCCTCTGTATGAGCCTAGGTCTCCAGGGTCTAGCCTAGAACTGGGGTTCAGTGCTGTCGGATCTGGGGTTCAGCACATTCCGGAGCTTTTATCTTCTTCCCACTAGCCAGGCACTCAGCTTCCCCCTCCTCTCCAGCTCCGTTCTCTCCACGAGCGCAGCGTGTCACCATACCTTAGGCATTTATAGCTCCTCTGCTTTTCCTTCTGGTTTTTTCTTCTAGTTGTAGAATTTTCAGTCAGTCAACTTTCCTATAGTTCTGGGTAACATCCATTTTGTATTTTAGTTGTATTTCATTGAAATTGTTGTGTGAGGCTGCGGTTAGGTGTTTACCTGTGCAGCCATTTGGATCCTCTTCTAGAATGTCTATTTTATTGATTTTTAATAGAGAGGAAGGGAGAGGGATAGAAAGCTAGAAACATCGATGAGAAAGAAACATCAACCAGCTGCTTCCTGCACACCCCCTACCGGGGATGTGCCTGCAACCAATGTACATGTCCTTGACCAGAATCAAACCTGGGACCTTTCAGTCCACAGATCGATGCTCTTTCCACTGAGCCAAACCGGTTTCGGCAATGATTGCTTATTGATAAACTGACTTAAAATGTCATCACTACAATGCTTAACATATAGACAGTGCCCAACAAGGGTCTACTGAACCCTAAGACAGCTTACACAAAGAAATGAGTCAAGACTTACGTGGTTTCCCAGTCTCGCCCAATAAGATTGATGACCACATTGCTGTGTCCGACTGCTCTTCGTATAGAATCTTTGTTTCTTGCATTCCATTCCTATAAGAGCAATAGCCAATCAAGTAAAAACATAAGGGGTGTACCCTAGCACTTAACCTTTCTGTAGGCCCCACCCAAATCCCCTGGCAAATTTCAAGATGGGCCATACGTTGTAGTCACAATACAGTGCCATTTCATTCAGACTCCATTTATTACAACAGAAATTATTCTGAGATCTCAAACCCCTGCTGATTCTCTGACTCTTTTGGAGACTAATAGTTGAAAGTCCACTTTATTCAGGTAATCAAATGATAGAACTAGTAAAAAAAAACAAAACACACTATTCATTTTTAAAAATAAAATGACTTAAGTGAAAGATGCACAGAGAGACAGAAACATCTATTTATTGTTCCACCTATTTATGCATCCATTGGTTGCTTCCTGTATGAGCTCTGACTGGGATCAAACCCACAATGTTGGTGTATCAGGACGATGCTCCAAATAAGATACCCACCCAGGGCAAAATGTTCTTCATTTTTAATGGGCCACATCAATTTTTGTCCACCCGAATGCTACATGTCTGTAAAGGAATCCAGTAATCAAGCCTCCCTTCCCAAAATATAGCTGAACAACCACGTATCATCTGGGATATAAACTGACTTTCCCTTTGTAGCAACAATCAGTTATAGATTGAAGGTAAAGAGGTCTATTAAAAGCTAATAATAAATTGGGAACATACATAATAATTTTTCATATTTTTTAATATCTTTTCTCTTTGTTATCCCAAATCTAGTAATTTCTACTTTAAAGACATTAAAACAACGCTTAAAGAGAAGTGACCTACCTGCCTAAAACTCCAGATTAAGCCAATGGCAAAATTTGGTGTAGAACTACACTTCTGAGCATCATTTAGGACTTCAGTAAGATTGATAATACTTATCCAAAATAGTGACTAGGAATTCAATAACTTCAGACAAAGGTACAGAGTTTTCTATATTACAATGAAACTGAATTTTTAAAGCATTTCAATAAAAGATAATTAAGAATTTCATAAAGCCAAATATTAATTGTGTATGCATAAATGAATGAAATGGAAAGGAGAGTGAAGGGAAGAGAAAAGGGAAAAGAGAAAAGGGGATGGAGGCAGAGAGAACAAGTGAGCATGAGCAAGCATACTCAAATGCCTGTGTAATTTAGAAGAGTGAACGGGTTATAGATATCAGGTTCTAAAACAAAAGAACAAAGCCATAACTAGGAAAAACTGGTTATGATGAAGAGTAGGGTGAAAGAGACAGTACAGAATAACAGCTTTGGAGTCCGACAGGAATGCAAATTCCAGTTTGCCATTTCCTAGCTGTGGACAAATGATCTCTCAAGCTCCATGTAAAATCTGAAAATACAGCCTAACTCACGGGGTTGCCATAAAGATTAAGTAAACTATGCATAAAATCTACAGCACAGTGGCTGACATACTCATCTAAAAAAAACAAACCCAGCTCTACTCATAGAAAGCTAAAAATCTAAAAAAAAAAAAAAAAAAAAAAAAAAAAAAAATTTTTTTCAACCAAAATGGAAAGAATGAAAGAGGATGAATCTAAAAAATAACTCAAAGTTTAAAAATTATGGCAGAGTCTGGCTACTACAAATTCAGGCAGAATTTCCCACAACCTCTTCAGATTCAGCAATTAACTAGAGTAACTCACAAAACTCAGGAAAGTGCTATACCTATAACAGTTATCCTATATAATAAAGAGGTAATATGAAAATTGACCATCACACTCTCACACAAGATGATCACCCCCATGTGGTCACAAGATGGCCGGCAGAAAAGGGCAGTTGTGAGTGATCAGACCAGCAAGGGAGGGCAGTTTGGGGCAACCAGGCCAGCAGGGGAAGGCAGTTGGGGACAACCAGATCTACAGGGGAAGGCAGTTGGGGATGATCGAGCCTGCAGGGGAGGGGAGTTGGGGGGGAACCAGACCTGCAGGGGAGGGCAGTTGGGGGCAACCAGGCTGGCAGGGGAGGGAAATTAGGGGCGACCAGGATGCCAAGGGAGGGCAGTTAGGAGTTATTGGGCCTGCAGGGGAGGGCAGTGGAGGGCAACCAAGTCTGCAGGAGAGGGCAGTTAGGAGTTATCAGGCCTGCAGGGGAGGGCAGTTGAGGGCAACCAGGTCTGCAGGGGAGGACAGTTAGGGGCGATCAGCCTGGCAGGGGAGGGCAATTAGGGGTGACTAGGCCAGCAGGGAAAGGCAGTTAGGAGCAATAGGGCCAGCAGGGGAAGGCAGGTAGGAGCAATAGGGCCAGCAGGGGAGCAGTTAGGTGTCAATCAGGCTGGCAGGGAAGTGGTTAAGGGGTGATCAGGCTGGCAAACAGAAGTGGTTAGAGGCAATCAGGCAGGCAGGCAGGTGAGCAGTTTGGAGCCAGCAGTCCTGGATTGTGAGAGGGATGTCCAACTGCCCATTTAGGCCTGATCTTGGTGGGTCTAAAGGGGCTGTTGGACATCCCTCAAAGGATCCCAGATTGCAGAGGGTACAGGCTGGGCTGAGAGACACCCCTCCACACCCTGTGCACGAATTTCATGCACCGGGCCTCTAATTAACTGCATAAATGGCCCTAGAATGAAGCCTGGAGAGAAGGAAACCAGACTCCCAAGACTCAGGCCCAAGAGCCCTAGCCAGATCAAGTAACCATTCAGAGAGCAGTTTCAAACAGAAACTGAAGCAGAGAAATCAGAACCCCATACCCAATATGGTCCATCCTTCTAAAAAATAAACAACAAAAACATAGTGAATACCTCCCCCTCAATTCGCTTTCCCTTTCATAATCATTATCCTCTTCAAAGTTATGTGTTTAGTGCCTGTATTCCCTATAACTGTGAGCTCGCCCTGGACTTGTTCATCAAGATATGCTCAGAGCTTAGCTCAATGCCAGGCACACAGCAGACACTCAATAAGCATCTATGGAAAGAATAAAATAAGTAATTCAGCTCAATTCTAATGACTCTCTACATTTGCAAGCCAGTAGCTATACAGTATTTCACTTATACTTGTGTAATATTTTTATTTTGAGCATTGACAAAGTAACCAATAATCTTAAGTTACAAAGAACTAGGAAAAAGCTAAGCTCCTGTAACTACATTAACAAAAAGATATTTGAAAATAAAATTTTGGAAAAGAAAAACATTTTAGAAACACAAAATTTCCAATATAAATATAGTCTGTGAACATTCAGTAAAGAATAAATAAAAAGCTATTAAAGTAAGTCAATATTTAAAGAGATCACAAATTATCTATATAAAAATAATATCAGATATTAAGGATATTTACCAAATACATTTTTTAAAGTGAAACATGTGCAAATGTAAAAGCTCAGTTCCATGCATGATGATAAAAGTAAGAATAGTTAGCTAAAAGAACAGTAGGCTCAAACATCAAAGCCCAGTTTTTTCTCAGTAGGAAAACTGCAGTCCATTTTGGGCAGTCCATTTCTTTGTGGAAAGGAACTGTCCTGTGCACTGTAAGATATTTAGTATCTCTATCCCCTACCTAATAAAAAATAAGATCTACAGTCACTGACATACCAAAAGGCCCCACATATTTTTAAGCATCCCTTGAAGGGTCTCTCCCCCTATCCTCACCCCGCCCCATTCCCCAACCCTCTACCCATTGGCAACTACTGGTGTAAAGGAAGAACCTGATATATTGATTATTTTCTTCATACTACATTTTTGAAATCTGAGGTGTATTTTAAAAATATATTTTATTGATTTTTCACAGAGAGGAAGAGAGAGAAATAGAGAGTTATAAACATCGATGAGAGAGAAACATCGATCAGCTGTCTCCTGCACACCCCCTACTGGGGACATGCCCACAACCAAGGTACATGCCCTTGACCGGAATCGAACCCAGAACCCTTCAGTCCACAGGCCGACACTCTATACACTGAGCCAAACTGGTTTCGGCAATCTGAGGTGTATTTTACACTTAACAGTGCATATCAATTCTGACTAGTCACATTTCATGTGTTCAATAACCATATGTGACTAATGATTACCATATTGGACAGCATAGGTTTAGGGCAGGGGCTGGCAAACTATGACCGACAGACAAATCTAGTCCTCAGTTCAACTTTGTAAATAAAGTTTTATTGGAACACAGTCACCCCTGTTCCTTCACATAATGTCTATAGCTGCTTTTGAGCTGCAAGGACAGAGCTGAGTAATTATGGCAAAGACCCTATGACTCTCAAAGCCTAAAATATTTACTATGTGAAGCTTTACAGGAACAGTTTACCAATTGCTAGACTAGAGTTTTCAAAAATGCCCTGTGAATACTAGTAGAGGATGCCTTTGGTCCACGCTAAAATGAAACTGCTGCTTTATTAACTGTCCCTCTTTCCTAAAAATGACCTCATAGTCATTTACATATGTAATCGGTAATACAGGCTCTTACCAGAAAGATAATCTGGCCCAGGTCACCCATTGGACGAAGGTGCATGTAGTCATATGTATCACACCGATAGGGTACGATTACTTGTGACCCCATACGCCCTAAAAGAGAATGGATTGAGACAAGGATCAATGTCAACATAATATGAAAACATTATATGACAGTGATATGGTAAATATTTAAATGCCAGGACATGTGAATTGATACTATCTATAACTAAAAGTGTATTTGGGCATGTCAGAGATGCCATACTTTTCAGAGTCCCCTATTCCCTTTTTAGCATCATACAGCAAGTGTGAGGAAGTATGGATGTGCTCACAATGCTCACAGTAGACTAAAATTACATAAATCCAAGACAGGAACCATTCAGAACACTGATAAAATGAAAAAAAAAAAACATAGCTCCTGGCTTCTCATTAAGTAACCCTAATAAGTGGCACTGGAGTATACGAAACTCCAGGAACTTTACTTACCAAGATGGTTGACAACATATCGGCCCAGGAATCCTGTTGCTCCAAACACAGTGGCCACCACCCCACTGACTGAGGAGCGCCCACTTCTCCCATGAGGTATGAGTGCATGGTGAAGCTGGCGCTGGGGTGGGCCATGAACCACGGCTGTGGCTAATGCAGTAATAGAAGAACCTTAAACAAAAGTCCAGAATATAACAGTGACTATGAATGAATACAAATAGCTCATTTTCCTAGGAACCTATATTATTTGCTATCAGTATTTTCATTTACTTAGGTTAAAGCTTATATTAGCTTTAAATTAATTATCAGCATTATTGCTCTTGCTCTTTGGGGCCAGTATTAAGCAAAATAAAGGTTACTTTGAACACAAGCACTACAATTGATCTGGTAACTGGAACAACTACTAGGTGACTAATGAGCAAGTAGCTATATAGCATGGATATGCTGGAAAAAAGGATGATTCATGTTCTGGCAGCATGGAGAACAGCATGAGATTTCATCATGCTACTGAAAATGATGCACAATTTAAAACTTATGGATTGTTTATTTCTGGAACTTTCCATTTAATATTTTCAGACCAGAGGGCAATTAACACTGTGGAAAGCAAAACTGTAGATAAGGGTACGGGGTGTCTACTGGTGTTAGCTCTATCAAGCAATGTTGAAAAGTGAAGTAGCATGAGGACAGAGTACTATAGGATCTAGAAAATGTTGGCTGCCAATGGCCTTACAAGAGAAATTTTATTGGAATAGTAGGAATTAAAGCCTGAATGGAGCAGGCAAAAGAGAAAATGTGAAGAAAGGAAACGGTAAAAGGAGTAGTGACAATCTTTTGAGGAGATCTGATATAAAGGGGCAAAGAAAAATAGGACTAGCGTAACATGAAGACAAGGAAGGTAGCTTTTTTAAAATATGAGATGTTATAGCATATGCTAAAGGAAATGACCCAGTTGATGAAAAAAATTAATGATGCAAAAGAGGGAATGAATAGATAAGAGAGGATGGCCATAGATCAGAGCTGAAGGAAGTCATCTGGAGAGAAGGCAGAGAATTATCACAGATTTTTGTGGTGAGAAAAGATTTTCTCATCCGATTCCTTGATTTCTCTGTAAAGCAAAGAATGAGACAGGAGCACATGTTAAAAGCTTTAGAAGACTGTCGATGTTAAATAACTGTTATAAAGAAAGGGAAAGCAAATTTCCTATAGAAATGATAGTGTTGAATATCTACTTTATATTCTATTGAAAATCTACTTTGAGATTTGTATTCATGAATTCAAAATAAGGCCAGTCAGTTCGTTTGGTGCTTTCCCTAGCTCAGTTCTCCACCGCTCAAGGGCAGGCAGGAAATTCATGGAAAGTTTGATTTAGTCAGTGTTGACTTTTTTTGCTGACAAAGGGAGATGGGCTGGAGAGTTGAGAATGTATGAAAAAGAATTATTAAAATGATGATTAAGGCAGGAAGTGAGGGCATAGGATAAAGGACAGTCAATAAGATAGGAACGATTGCCCTAACCGATTTGGCTCAGTGGATAGAGCATTGGCCTGCAGACTGAAAGGTCCCAGGTTTGATTCTGATCAAGGCATGTACCTTGGTTGCAGGCCATACTCAGTGGGGAGTGTGCAGGAGGCAGCTGATTGATGTCTCTCTCTCATCGATGTTTCTAATTCTCTATCCCTCTCCCTTCCTCTCTGTAAAAAAAATCAATAAAATATATATTTTTTTTAAAAGATGGGAACAATTACTGGACTCAAAGAATTAAGACCACAAAAGATTGTTATGAGGATCAGAATAAATGTACATAGGCATTCAGCACATTACCTAACTCACATTTGGTGTTGCATGAATAATAGCTGTTTTCATTTATTAGTACTTCAAAATACTTCAGAAGGTAATGTTACACTAACCTCACATGGTTATTTCTTTTTTCAACAATTATAAGCCAAGAACTATTCTAGAAACTGTGTCTAGTAAAGTAAAAAAAGACAAACTCCATAGCCTCAAGGAGCTAACATTTTAGAGGGCTGTATGGGTATTAATAATATATTGGTTAGTGCCTTACTCATATAGGTGCTCAATAAATATGTTATTACCCTCTTTGGTTCCAGCCTCTCCATTTTCTTCCATTTATTATGAATATCATTAGGAAAGTAACATTATTTATTCCTTATATTCCTCTTTACAAAAATCTACAATGGCTTCCTACTGTAATTCTAGCTAATAAAAGTTATATGCAAATTGACTATCACTCCAACACACAAGATGGCCACCCCCATGAGGTTAAAGATGGCCGTCCTCATGTAGATACAAGATGGCCACAAGATGGCTGGCAGGGGAGGGCAGTTGTGGGAGATCAGGCCAGCAGGGGAAGGCAGTTGGGAAGTACCAGGACTACAAGGGAGGGCAGTTGGGGAGGATCAGGCCTGTAGGGGAGGGCAGTTAGGCGTTGTTCAGGCTGGCAGGGAGTGGTTAGGGGGTGATCAGCCTGGCAGGGCAGTCGTTAAGGGGTGATCAGGCTGGCAGGCAGAAGCAGTTAGGGGCAATCAGGCAGGCAGGCGAGTGATTGGGCCAGCAGTCCTGGATTGTGAGAGGGTTCCAAGGTTGGAGAGGGAGCAAGCTGGGCTGAGGGACACACACCCCCACACACACTGCACATGCACAAATTTTATGCACCAGGCCTGTAGTATCTAAATAAATTGTCTCCAAACATATTTACTTGCAACTGCATTAAAGTATTAATTTATAAATTACACACATGCTCTAAGTACTCCAACGGTACAGACATTATAACACATGTATTAAATCACTAAAATAGTGTACATACAACCAGTAAGCAGTCTGGCAATTCCTCAAAACAGAGGAATAAAGCTACAACACTACCCTGGGCATATATCTGAAAAACTTGAAATCATGTATTCACAAAGATATATGCAACCCTATGTTCATTATAGCATTATTCACAGTGGCCAATACGTGGAAACAATGAAGTGTCCTACAATAGAGGATTGGATAAAGATGTGGTACATACACAAAATGGAATACTACTTTGCCATGAGAAAGGATAAAATACTGTCATTTGGAACAACATGGGTGGACCTTGAGAATATTATCCTAAGTGAAATATGTCAGTCAGAGAAAGCTAATAGCCACATGATTTCACTCATATGTGTGATATAACACTGAAACTTGTGAACACAAATAGCAGTGTGGTGATTGCCAGAGGGAACAGAATGGGGAGAAATGAGGGTCCTAATATGTTGTGACAGAAGATTTGACTTTGGGTGGTGGGCACTCAGTGCAATATACAGATCTTGTAACATAGAAACCCACACCTGAAATCTATATGATGTCAACTAACGTCACCTCAATAAAAAAAATAAAATAAAATAAAAAAAGAACAGTGTATATAGTTTGAATAACGTATTAGTTTGGTTGTTTTGTGGGTTTGTTGGGTTTTCCTTTGTTTTGTTTGTATTGTATTCTATTATTTCCTCTTGCAAAACCCACTTTGGAGACAATTGATCTAAAACTCTGTCTGGCTTTCAAAGGCCTCTATTATTTGATCCTATGTAATGTATCCAACTTCCTTTCCTACTATCTCAGACCTACAGGTTATCATTTCACTGCCTCCTAAGTACTTCATGGTTCCATTCTCACCCCCTAGTCCTTACCAGTGACAGGAAAATGTCCAACCTTTCTGACTTTCTATATTATAACAACCCTCACAAGATCAGTGGGAAAAATGCCATTCTTCCATGGTCTTCCAATCTTCCCTCACTGCTTCAAATGATACCAATCTTTCCCTTTTCTGATGTCCTGTGGTACTTAATAGTCTCTCCACACTTCACTATGTATCTTTGTTTCACACAATTGTTCTATAGTGTTTTGATTATATTACACATTAAACTTGCCTCTCCAAAGTTAGTTAAAAGGTTATTTTACCAGAGACAATAATAAAGCATGACAACCTATGATATCAGTTAAAAAAAAAAAAGTTTGAAAAAAAATTATAAAAATCTAAAAGGGGACATCAGAAACACTTTTAACAATATAGATAATTTATTTTAAAATCTAAAGCTGTGATTAGCAGATAGCAGATACCATGAAAAAAATAGAACTTCTGGAGGTCGATGGTGTGTTTATGAAGGGCTGGAGGGTGAAATAATGAGGTTGAAGCATAACTGGATTACATTTCTTTGCTTTCTAGCCTCTTACTGAGTGGAAGAGCAAATGCATGTTTTCAATCTCAGGACGATAATAGCAGATCTAGTAAGAATAGAGGGTTAAATGAACAACGTTTAGAAAAATCCCAAGATATCCTTTACTCTTCCCTTCCCTTCCCACCAAGTTCCAGATTCCTCTCTCTACAGGCATCCCTCGATTCCCAGGCCCCAGCACCTCGGACTAACACACTCTTCTCTACAGAGATGTTTTGGATTCAGAAAGTGCTTTCATGAATATTACTTACTTTAATCTTTTCCGAAACTCCCTGACGTTGTGGTATTATCATTTCCATTGTGTCACGAAAGATCTTAAGTTGAGACTGAGTAAGGGTTTGCACAAGGTCTTAAAGCAAATCCATTAATAATTTCTCTCCACTATCCTCCTCTCCCCCATCCTTTCCACACTCCGCTCCACGACCCCTCACCCCCGACATAAATATTTCTCAGAACCCAAACCCGTGCAACCCTAAGAGAAACCTGATTCTCCGGATCCGTTAAACGTCCCTCACTTTCTCCTCTCCCCTTCCCGCTGCTCACGTTCCCCCAGCGCAGACCCCTTCCCAAATGCACCTTTGAATTTGTGAGTCGGAGACGGGACGGAAGGGAGAAACTGAACGGGCGCAGCGCTGGACCTGGAAAATCCAAGGTGTCCAGGGCGTCGGGATGACCGCGGCAGCACGCGCCGCTCGCACCCTGTTCACCCTGCCTCGGAATCCCAATCCCGGCCCGTTTTCCCAGTGACACTTACGTGACATTGGCAGGACCCGAGCGACCCGGGGGTGAGCGGCGGCCGCCATCTTCTCCCACAATCCCCTGCCGCCGGCGCTCCGCAGACTACGGCACCTGGGCAGGGTCAAAAGGAACCGTCCCAGCGGCCTGCGCAGGCGCACACCGGGAGAGGGGCGGGTCAGGCCTCGGGAGGGTGGTGTCGGAGATGAGGGCCGAGGAAAGAGAGCGAAACGGCGGGGCCGGAAAGCGGGAATAGAAAGAGGAGAATCCTGAGGTCGGAATCTCAGATTTCAGAACGAACCGTGAAAACCATCTGGTTGTCGAGAAACCAGAAGTTCAGCGTCAACCAGTAACTGACTGAATCATGGGCCTACTAAAGGACAGAACCCGAGCTCAGCTTTTTTTTTTTTTTTTTTTTTTTTTTTTTTTTTTTTTTTTTTTTTTTTTTTGTCGTCTTTCCTCTCTGACATTTTTAGGAAACAATGAATTGGTGAGACTGGAAGAAGGTGGAGGCGTGGCCTCTGAATTCCTTATCTGCCAGGAGACAAGCAAGGTCCAGGGAGGAGTTGTATGAGTGGGGCAGGGATGCGGAGAGGAAGTGAGGAAGAGAAATAGAAATGAGGACGTGCACGCCGAATTCACCAAAGCGCATTCTGTGTTCTCTCTTGGAAGCCTCTGCTTCTTGCTGTTCCCTTTCTCCTGGCATGCTCCCTAAGCTGTCTGAACCAGCTTCGATCTGCTTGCAGGTGACCTCAGAGAAGACGTAGCTGACATCTTATCCCAGGTGGTCATCCTTCCTACTGTCTTTTATTATCATTTATCAAAGCACTTACAACCACCGGACATATAAATCCATAGATTCTTGACCTGGATTGGGATTCATGAGTGCACTTCAAGATGCCTATGAGCCTCCTGAAATGTTATTTAAAGTTTAGTGGACTAAGAAGAAACTCTGTAGCAGTGGTTTGTAATTTATTGTTAACTGTGGACTTCCTTAAGAATCTACATACGCCGAAACCGGTTTGGCTCAGCGATAGAGCGTCGGTCTGCGGACTGAAAGGTCCCAGGTTCGATTCCAGTTAGGGGCATGTACATTGGTTGCGGGTACATCGCCAGTGGGGGGTGTGCAGGAGGCAGCTAGTTGATGTTTCTCTCTCATCGACGTTTCTAGCTCTCTTTCTCTCTCCCTTCCTCTCTGTAAAAAAATCAATAAAATATATATTTTTAAAAAAGAATTACATAGTTTTAAAGTCTGAGGAGATTCCAGAAGATTAGACAAAACACTTGCAATTTTAAGTAGTTTATTCTGCTCAATTTTCAAGGTCTCTCAGTAGAAGACAGCAACCACAGCCTGTCCTGAGACATTTTCTTTGGGTTTTATCTATCATAAAACAAGTTTAGCTTATGGTCAGAGGAAGGGGGGGGGGGTGTGGAGCGAGCGCTTAGCAAACATGGTAGTTATAAGGGGAGGGACTAAAACATTAAAAAAAAAAGTTTAGGGGATCTTTCTACACTTGGTAATTCATGCTTTTTTTTGTTTTGTTTTGTTATTAGGAAGAAAAGTGTGCATGCTGAGATGGGCAAAAGGTATGTAGTGAGTAGATTGGTTGTTCCCATCCCACCTCCACTGTTAAGCTGCAACTACCAAACTGAATTAAAAGAGGAAACTCTTAGAGAAATTTTATCAGAGAAATTTACTAATGCTGTGCTGTCTTATATTTCTTGGCCTCATCCTATGTTCAGTCAGCACTTAAAGTTTGGCAATATTTGATTCTGGGGTCAATGTGAATATCAACATACTTTCCTGGTTCTAATAAATTGATAGACTCCTATTATCAGCAATCTCCTAACACCTGTGTAGTATTCCAGTTACATCTCCAAGTCAAACACTGCCCCATGTTTTTTTAAATCCTCTCCTGAGGATATGTTTTGGTCATTGATTTTTAGAGAAAGGAAGGGAGAGAAACATCGATGTGATAGAGAAACAGCAATTGCTTGCCTCCCATTCACACCGCACCCCAGGATCCAACCTGTGCAACCTAGGTATGTGCCCTAACCAGGAAACTGCAACCTTTTGGTGTCCGTGACCACACACTCCAACCAACTGAGCCATCCAGCCAGGGCTGCCCAATGTTCTAAATAGTTTCAAGGTGACATAATATAGTTGAAAGAGCACTGACTTAAAATTTAGAATATTGTGTTATCTGTGGAAGTGGAGTTTTTGGGGTGTCTTAAGGAAAAGAATTTCCTAAGGTTCTCATGGGAAGATGGGATTTTGTGGAAAGTTTTACTGATGACGTAAAATTAAGGAGGTTCCCTTCAAGGTCTCATCTATATTCATCTCACCATGGAAGAAGTCCAATCTTGTCTTCAGTAAGGCCAGAATTGAGGCCACTGCCCAGAATTTCTGTTTCATATTAAAGTACAGTCCAATCTAGCATCCCAAGTATGGAGCCCACATGACCCATGGCCATGGCTGCTTAAAGCCACATGGCTATGGAAAGAAAATGGGTGAGCTCACAGGAGAGATAACAGCTGAATGCACAGGGGAGAGAGCTCAGAGAGCAAAAGAGAACAAGAATACAAGCCAATAAGAGCAAGCAAGAGAGAAAGAACTCAAGGGGGGGGGGGGTTACTTTCCCAAGATTTCATGTGCTTCTAATGGGATCTACATCCTAGCCAACCCGTTGTTCACCAGGCTAGACTCACAGGAATTCACCTTCCCTATGAATGTCACCTGCACTTCACTACACATTGGACCATCCCCCGCTTTGTTCAATCCCTTCCCCCAGTGATCTGCAGGGAATGGACTGGTGGTTCCTGAGGAAGTGGGAAGCTGTAGCTTCCTAGCGAAGCTGCCCAGATGACCATGTTTATAATGTTTGGCCTCCCTTTTGCTCTCTTCCTCTTATTAGTATCAATAACTAGTTAATTATAATGATAACAATTAGATCCCAGTTCTAGTTCTACCAGTTTTTAGTTGCACCCTGAGCAAGCTTCTATACCTGTCTAACAGGGAAAATAACACCTGCACTATTACCTCAAAAGGTTATTGTGAGGATAAGATGACAATGGATGTGTAAGTGCTTTGTCACCTGCAAAGTGCTATATGCATTTACATGTAGTTTTATTCAAGTACCCCTGAAATATCAAAATCATAGAATGTCAGAGATGGAAGGTATTGTAGGAGATCAACATGCACTTCTTTATTTTAAAGATGAAGAAACTGAGACCTAATATAAAAGGTCATCAATAAATAACCTGCTACAGGAAACCTATAATAAACCAATCAGTCACTTTTGGATCTGTTAATGATTTTCATTCTTATCTTGTAACCTTGATCAGAGATTCTTTTTGCTTTATGAAAACTATGCACTAGTCCTAAATTTAATCATTAATTAAGAGTACTTAAGATTATAATTCCGAAGAGAATGTACTACTAATAAAGCCTAGAAATTGCTAATCAAATACCTTTTGGTCTGATTTATCCCACTTCAGGTGGAGGTGGGGCATTGCAGAGGATGCATTAGTGCTATTGTATCTCTGACCATCTAAGACAAATTGTTACCCAGAGATGGTCATTGTAGGAAAAATATCTCAAAATGTATTTCTTTTGTAAAAAGAAATCCAAGCTGCATCCCACAAAATGAAGTGAAAAAGAATCCAAGCTGCATCCCACAAAATGAAGTGAAAAAGAATCCAAGCTGCATCCCACAAAATGAAGTGATTCCGTGTGCTTTGCATACAAAATTTAGTAACTACCCCCTCCCCCCCCCCGCAATCCTTTTAATTCTTATTGTCTGCGTCTATCTGGATTTGTTAATACATGATACTTACTCTGTTGTTTTAAGTGGAATCCAATGGTAAAAATTTCCCCTCCCATATTTCTTACCTAAATTACATATTTATAAGAGTTTTTCTTTCCTAAATTATATATTTAAAGAAGAAAATTACTGAGAAAGTTAACCCAAACTAAACATCAGAGCTTTGGAGTGTATCTTCACCTCTCCCCCTGTCCTTTGATGACCATTGTTGCCATGGAGATAGTGATATCACCAGTTGTGATTCTGATGTCACTCACCAGTCCTAACAAGGAGGAGGTACATGGAAGGCTGGGGGAGGAAACAAGATCTTGAGCTGAGCAAGAACACCCCAGCATCTTCGTTGACTTTAAAAGTATATTCTGGGGTCTTCTGTGGTCACTATTCCAGTACTACAGAGGTAGGCAATCCCACTGGACTGATGAAACAGCCCATTTTCTGATCCTCTGTAGTTAAAAGGGAGAATTTAGTGATATGTGATGAGTCACTTTGCCCAGAAAAATTTTACCTGAATCTTCTGGAAATACGTGAGCCTCTAACTTGGCAGCATTGTAGCTAAACCTACTATCTTTGCTGTTGAAGTTTTCATTTTGTTACAGATTGGCCAGACCTCTTTGCCCATCCTTTTGGGGACAAAACTGGTTCTTACTCTCTGCCTCTTAATTTGACAATGAGACTGGAAGCTTGACTCCCTGCTGACTTTTGCTCCTCTTGGTGTCGCTGTCCAAAAGTTCTTCTTTTCCCCAGTGTTACAACTGCAAAACCAGACTTGTATAACTCTGCATCCCAATTCTCATCCACTTTCATCCTCTCACTATTATTTCTGAAGTATTGGCTATACAACAGAACTGGGGAGAGACAGGATATATAGATAGCTAACCATGTTGAAAATGTGCCTCTACTAATGGGCCACTACAGGAAGAAAGAAGTATTACTAAGGGGAAGTGAAAGTAGAGGAGATCCACAGGCAAGCTTAACAGTGAATAGTACCATTGAGAAAAAGATAAACACACACACACACACACACACACAAACACACACACACACAGAAGAGAGAGAGAGAGAGAGAGAGAGAGAGAGAGAGAGAGAGAGAGAGAGAGAGAGAGAATTTCCAATCCTTATTTAAACAAAATCAATTGAAACTGATTTCATCAACAACCAAATTTTTTAGGTGTCTAACAATATGCCAAATACAGGGAATGGAAGAGAAAAAGATAATGGATATAATAGAATACATTCTTTCTAAA